ATGTCTAATTCTGGAAGATGAGGCTAATCGTTGCTGGAGGGAATGTCTGGCATTACCCTGTGGGGCAGGGTTTGGGGTGAAAGTCAGAGGACCAGCGATGCCAAGATCTGAGGACAGGAGATGATGCCCCAACTCAGGCAGAGAGAGCATATGCCCCCTCCTCCACCTTCTTGTTTCGCTCAGACCCTGAAGGGATTGGAGGGTGCCACTGCCTGGGTGAGGGTGTCTTCTTTACTCGGCCTTCAGATTCAAGTGCTAATCTATTTCCAGAAACACGCAGAAATGAGGTCTCCCCAGCTCCCCGGTCATGCATTAGTCCAGTGAAGCTGATACATACAGTGACCCAGCGCGTGTTGATGTTTTCAATATGAGCACGTGAACGCAGGAAGAGGGCTTAGCTTTCAGGAAGCAGGCTACCTGAAGTTCCCGCTGGCGTCTAGATTCCTCAGGGAAACCCGCCTTCTCACAGGCAGGCACAGTTCTTCTCATGGGAAAAATGATGCTTGAGGATTTCAAAGTATACTAATAGAAAAAAAGAGCCCTGGCCAGGTGGCTCCATTGGTTGGAGCGTCGTCCAGTACACCGAAAGGATGTGGGTTCGATCCCCGGTCAGGGCACATACCTAGGTTGCGGGTTCGATCCCTGGTCAGGACGCGGTCAGGATGCATAAAGGAGACAATGAATCAATGTTTCTCTCCCACATCAATGTCTCTCTCTTCCTCCCTCTCCCTCCCTCCCTTCCTTCCTTTCTCTCTAAAAACCAGTAAAGACAAAACATATCCTTGGGTGAGCATTAAAAAGAAAAAAATCCATCTCTACCAATATTTTGAAGCAAATTGAACTCTCTCAGGTGCCCAGAGGTGATGGGGACTTCAATTCCTGAGCTGTTTGCTCACGGGGTTTAGGCTACAAATTTGTTGCACTGGTGCTTTCCTTTTTTTTTTTTTTTTTTAATTGTTTAAAATATTACATATGTCTCCCTTTCCCCAGTGATACCCGCCCCTGGCCACTCCCACCCCCCAGGACAAGCCCCCACCGCCCCAGTGCCTGTGTCCATTGGTTAAGCTAATATGCATGCATACAAGTCCTTTGGTTGATCCCTAACCCTCCCTTCCCCTGCCTTCTCTCTGAGGTTGGACGGTCTGTTCAGTGGTACCTTGTCTCTGGATCTCTTTTGGTTCATCAGTTTATGTTGTTCATTATGTCCCACATCTGAGTGAGATCATGTGATACTTATCTTTCTCTGACTGGCTTATTTCACTTAGCATAATGCTCTCCAGTTCCATCCATGTTGTTGCAAATGGTAAATGTCACTTCTTTTTTATAGCAGCGTAGTATTCCATTGTGTAGATGTACCACAGTTTTTTAGTTCTCTCATCTGCTGATGAGCACTTAGGCTGTTTCCAAATCTTAGCTATGGTGAATTGTGCTGCTATGAACATAGGGGTGCATATATCCTTTTGGATTGGTGTTTCTGGTTTCTTGGGATATATTCCTAGAAGTGGGATCACTGGGTCAAATGGGAGTTCCATTTTTAACTTTTTGAGGAAACTCCATACTGTTCTCCACAGTGGCTGCACCAGTCTGCACTCCCACCAGCAGTGCACGAGGATTCCTTTTTCTCCACATCCTTGCCAGCATTTGTCATTTGTTGATTTGTTGATGATAGCCATTCTGACAGGTGTGAGATGGTACCTCGTTGTTGTTTTGATTTGCATCTCTCAGATGATTAGTGACTTTGAGCATGTTTTCATATGTCTCTCGGCCTCTGTATGTCTTCTTTCGAAAAATGTCTGTTGCCCTTTTTTTTTTTATTGGATTGTTTATCTTCCTTTTGTTAAGTTGTATGAGTTCCCTGTAAATGTTGGAGATTGACCCTTATTGGAGATAACATTGGTAAATATTACAGCAAGCAGTGGGCTTTCTTGCTGTTGTGTTGATGGTTTCTTTTGCTGTGCAGAAGCCTTTTATTTTGATGTAGTCCCATTTGTTTATTTTCTCCTTAGTTGCACTGGTGCTTTTCACAATCAAGTCAATTGGCATCTTGGCATTGAGTCAGATGCCAAGATAATTTTTTCTTGCCAAATTGCTTTTTTCCATTGCAATTAGCCTTTTTAAGAACCTTACCAAACAACAAATGTGTACACAATTCCCACTCTCCCCAGACAATTAAAACTCAGCTCAGAAGTTTTATCTGTTATAATTCTTATTGATGAAAATACCATCTTTACTCTATCACCTGTTTTTCCATGTATTCTTAGATATCCTCTAAATCAGGCATAGGATTAAGAGAGATTTAATTTTTTTAATAGTATGTGTTCTCTAATCCGAAAATAAATTATTTAAGCTAAAAACAGGGTAGCTGTCAGAGTTTCCTTAATTGGAATTCTTATAAAAGCCCTGAGCTTGGCCAACACCTTTTTTGTCCTCTAAAAGCACTTTGAAGCTGAGTCTGCCACTGCTCTCGGAAACCCATTTTATCTTTTATTCCCGGGCTCAAAGTCTATATTTTCTAGCTTCTCTTGTGGTTAGGGGACCATGTGACTGGTTTCTGGGCCAAGGAAGGTACACTGAGGTGTTTGGCCCATGAAAGTCTCCCACGAGGGAGCCTCCAGGTTCTTTTCTTCTCTACCTGCTGGAGACGTCCATGCCCAGGCCGCCTTGGCAGCCTTGAGTGGAAATGACAGCGCCGCTATCAGCCTGGTTCCTAAGGAAGCAGGGCCCACTCCCCTCCACCCCCACCACCCCCACCCTAGATCTCCCTTCCATGGCTCACTGACGTCCGGGGGCTCAAATACTTTTCCTCCTCCATCATGTTCGATGCTCCAGCCAAGCCTTCCCATGGCCCAGGTCCATGGAACTTCTCACCCTTTAACCTTATTCTTTCTCTGTCTGCCTTCCCAGATAGACTCCCGAGCTCTGTGAGGCATGGACCACGTTTCCCTCCCTCACCATTATATCGTCAGTATCTAATAGGGTTGGCACACAGTAGGTTTAATAAATGTTCGTTAGATTAACAAAATGGTGGATGCATGGCTTTGCCCTTCTCTGTGCTGGTATAGCAAAATCAGATGCTGAACAATCTTTACGAACAATGACAATGAGATGAGAAGAGCATCTGAATTGCATTACTCTTGAATGTCTCCACCCACCTGGCGTCTGGTCATAACTAGTGGTCTTCATTACAGATCTCCTTAATGCTGGCAAAGAAATGCTTGTACATGAACAGTGGACACAAATATAGGAGTCTTGACTCACTTTGTTTACTCAACGAGAATTTCAAAGAAACAAGTGTGATAGCATGAGAAGTCCTGGAAGATGTAAATATCCTCTCTGAATAGGGCCATGCTTTAACAATGGAAGTGACAACAGGGGCTGAGTCATAGACACAGCTCCTGCCTTCTTTCTTGGAACACTCCCCTTTGGAGCCCTGAACCTCCACATTTGAAGTCTGCCTCCCTGGGACTACGATGATAGAGGACACAGGTAGCGGGCCCGCTCGATAACCCCAGCTGAGTGTTGCCTCCCAGCCGTTCCTGCCAACGCATTGGACGTGGTTGACGCCATCTTGTCAGGTCACTCAGCTGGCAAGGGGTAGCCTGGATCTGACCCAAATCTGATCAAGCCAAGCCTGTGTGTGTGCTTTCTCCTCCATAGAGGGGTCCATCTAGGAGTGCAGGCAGTGTCTCAGTGTGGTTTTCATTTGCATCTCTCTGATGAATAGTGACTTTGAGCATCTTTTCATATGTCTGTTGCCATCTGTATGTGCTCTTTGGAGAAATATCTATTAAGGCCCTCTGCCCATTTTTTTAATTGGAATGTTTCTTTCAGATGAGTTCTAGACTTATCGGGGCAATCACTTCATAAATTATATAAATGTCCAACCACTATGCTGCACACCTGAAACTATATAAGATTGAATATCAACTGTAATTGAAAAAAATAAATAAATAAAAGAGTGCAGGTCTCTCCAAAAGTGGCTCCCAAAGAACTAGAAGGTGCTTGTGGCAGTGATACAGAGCTGGAGCATTAACCCTTTTAGTGCCAGGGAGCGCAATCGCGCTCCTCCTGCAGTATCACTATTAGATGCTAGTAGTTCACTCTTAATTGACAGATGGCACCTAAGTGCAGATTAGTTATGATGCCGAATGTTTGTAGTTCTAAAATTGACCACTGGCATTGATCTGCCTAATTTTTTACAGGTACTAAGATTTTATGAAGTTTACTCAGATTTTGTAGCCCTAAAGCTTCGAAATGGCGTCCAGTTCTAAGTCTGCTTTTATTAGTGATGATGATATTGCTAAATATGTCAGTTCTTGCTGTGAAGATGATGATTTTGTGGAAGATATTGGAGAAGGGTGTCCCTCTATTTTAACATTATCTGATTTGTTCAAATTTTTTCTTCTACTAGTATTTTATAATACAATCAGCAAACAATATATGTCAAAGATGAAAACAGATGTAGTAAAGGTTTCCTTAAGTTTTTGAATATGTAACTTCATTTACTTGCGATTCATAATTTTTTTCCTAAACAGCTGTAAAATCAGCAAAAATGCCGTGGCAATTTTAGCATAGTTCTTAGGATATTGGTTGGCACTCAAAGGGTTAAAATGGTCATTCATGAACTATACCCCCTTAATCAAGTTTATCAATTTTTGCTGGCCTTTACAAGTTGGTTACTCAGTAAGGATCTAGGGATAGAGTAAGGAATACAGGAGTCCCCATGGGTGTGTTTCAGAAGTTCTGCATCTATATATATAAAAGCCCAATATGCAAATAGTCCCTTCGGGAGTTTGACCAGGAGACCAGGAGTTCAATTGCTTGCTATGATGTGTGCTGACCACTAGGGGGCGGCATGGAATGACGGGAGGCCCCAGCTAGCAGCTGGCAGCTGGGGAAAGGGAGACCCAGCTGGCAGCCCGAAGGCCCCGATTGGCCCTGATCACCGGCCAGGCCTAGGGACCCTACTCATGCACGACTTTCATGCACCGGCCCTCTAGTAGTTTATATAATAAATCTTTTTAAAAGCAAAGATTTATCATCCCTATGACCACCCAGGTTTATCCGCTGTAAAATTCTGTTTCCACACAGTCCCATTTTCTTAAAGGGATATATCTACAATGGAGTGAGATGATTGGGGTTTGATATTTTCTTTTTATTCACTTCTTTTTCTCGTTGGGCTAAAAATTCCCAACGTGTATTGGTCCATCTGTCTTCAAATGCTTTTAATTCATAATAATAAGCACAACTGTTAAAAATAAAACAGAAAAGTAGAGAGGGGGAGGGAGGAGAGGGGCTCTGCTTATACACAATTCATCCCTCCCTCTCAGCACACACAGATGTGTTCAAACACTGCCCGGTGATGTAACTCCTAGGGTGCTCCCTATCTTCTGTTCTGAAGAGAACGTACCGTCTGGTGGTCTAAAAGCGCTGATGGGCGTCAAATGATCTGTGTTTAAATCTTGGCTTTGCCTCTTCCTGGCTGGATGGGCTTCCCAGCTTGTGCCTCAGTTTACTCATTGCAACTTAGACCTCCACCTGGCTGCTGTGAGGATTAAATGAGCCAATCAACGCATGCAATGGCCTCAGAGCCATGCCTGGCAACAGTAACTTGAAAGTGCAATATAAATATTATCTGCTTCCTCAGACATTTAATTGAAAGACAATGGACAGGACAAAAGGAGTGAAAGAATTTGAAGTCACTCAGTAACTGTTACACCAAAAAGCTCATGCACTCTCAGCGATAAGCCGTAGCCTATGCAGACAGAGCACATTCTGTTCTTAAGATCAATGGCCGGTGTCAGGAGGCAATACTCTCTGATAACAAGCCAGAGTCATCATGACTATATGGTTTTATGAAGGTAGAGAACCAACAGCCTGGATGAAATGTCTCTAGACAGGGCCAGGAAAGTGCTTAGGCCTCCCTCCCCCACCCCTCATCCCTTTGGCAAGGCAGGGGACCTCAGGAAGACCACCACGCCCAACCCTTGCTTTTCACTCATTCATCAGCAACCGCTCATTGTGCACCTACCTTGCGCCAGACACTGCAACGATGAGTGAGACCCTACAACCTAGTTGGAGAAACAAACAGAAGGAAGCTTTAATTAATTTCACAATTATTGACTGACTACCAGGCATCTAGTACTATGTTAGGTGCTGGGTATTGTAAACAAAACGGACAAAAGACCCTGCCCTCATGGAGCTGGCATTCTAGGGAAGGGAAAGATAGAATACGATATGAAAAAAGTATGACATGTGCATCTAGTTCTAGTCTCTCAGGGCGTGATCAGTGCAAAGGAGAAGAATAAAGCAGGAGAGAGCTAGGAGTGTTCCTGCGGGTTGGTGGACTGTCCGTACTTCTAATTTGAATACAGACGGTCTCCGACTTAGGATGGTTGGACTTACCATTTTCTACTCTACGATGGTGTGGAAGCAGGATGCAACCAGTAGATGGATTCATATCTAGGCACATGCTCGGGTACCTTCTTCCGACGCTGGGCAGTGGCGACCAGCCTCAACACTTAGCACTACACAGCGTATTAGATGATTTTGCCCAACCGCAGGCTAATGGAGGTGTTCTAAGCATGTTTAAGCTGGGCGAGGCTAAGCTACATAATGTTTGGTAGTTTAGGTGTATTAAATGCATTTTCAACTTATGATGGGTTTATCTAGATGTAACCCCATCTTAAGCTGAGGAGTACCTGTAGTCAGGAACGGCTTTGCTGAGATAAATGCCCGGAGGCCGGGAACTGTAATCCAGACGCAGAGCATATGGGCCCGGGGAAGCCCTGCCTCTCCCCTGGCCCAGCTGAGCGGCGAGGAAACAATCCTCCTGCGTGTAAGTCCTCGGGGCAGGACTTGCGTTCCTCACGGTCCTCAGGCCGGCGGAGGGCACCGCTGAGAAGGTGCCCAGGAACAGTGACGGAAAGCCGGTGATGTTCGTCAGCCCATCAGCAAGCAACGTGGGCACCGACTATGCCCAGACGCACTCACTCCCTGGGCGCTCGCCGAGCACCTGGCATGTGAGGGATGTTGGATTCTGCCCTCGAGGAACTAGTAGTCACATGAATTATTCATAAGCGTCAGGACCGAGTGTAGGCTCGGTCACACCACAAATCCGGACACCCCCGGGCACGTGAAGCCACAGAGCCAGTGCACGCGGCGATCGGCGGCGGGGGTGCGGCCACTTGCAGGCGCAGCGGGCGGCAGGTGAGGCCTAGGGCGCCCAGGACCCGCTGGGCAGACCCTGAAGAAAGGGACCCAGCTCTCTCCGGGCCTTGGCGCGGGTCTCGGGACGCAGCCGCCCAGCCCCGGCCCCACCTCGGCTGCAGCCCGGCTCCTGGCCCGGCGCGCGCCGGCCTCCCCGCGCCCCGCACAGCGCCCCCTCCCGCCGCGCGCGCCCGCTGCCCCGGCTCCCGCGCGCCCCGGGCTCCGGGGGCGGGGACGAGCAAAGGTCCCGCCAGGCCGCCCTGGGCCCGCGAGCCCCCGCCCCCGCCCCCGCCCCGCCCGGCATCCTGGCTGGGTCCGCACGGGGCGCGCGACTGCGGGGGCTGAGCTGCGGGCGCGGGAGGTAAGTGCGGGCGGCCCTTCCCTCTCCGGACCCCCTCCTCTGTCCCCCCTAAGGGAGGCGGGTCCGGCGGCTGGACAGCTGCCCGCGTGGCGCCCCTCCCGTCCCCCCTTCCCAGTCCCCCTCCCCTGAGCCCCCCAACCCCTTCCCCGTCCTCCCCTTCGCGCTGCCACTGCCTTCCCCGCTGGTTGCCAGGGCCGCTGGCACCGTCTTCCCGCGCCGCCGCCCTCCCCACTCCTTCAGCCTTTGTTCCTGTTTCTCCGCGGGCTGTGCGTGCGGAGGTCTCCCCTCCCGGGGGCCGGCGGGGCCCCGCAGACGTGGTTTCAGGCTCTGCACCCGGGCGAGCCCCCCCCGCCTGCGTGGGATGGGGGAGCCAAGTCTCCCGTGTTCTCGGCCCGGGTGGGAGGGCGTCGCAGCTGCCGCCCGGCCTCCGGGGCCCTCCCGTGCGGAGCCGCTTCCCACCTGCACCTGGAGGCGGCGGCGGGCGGCCGGGCGGGGGGCGGGTGATGGTGCGGGGCGTTGGGTAGCGCCCTTGGTGGAGAGCCGCTGTGCGCCAGGGAGTGCGCAGGGATGCGGGGTGGAGTCCAGCTGTCGCTGTCCCGGGAGTCCGCGTGGAGCGGAGCAGGGCTGTGCGGCCGGAGAGGCAGCTGCACAAGTTACAGTAAATGAATTGGTTTCAGGACGCACCGCCAACGTGCTCCTCCGATCGAGGCAAACAGCCAAACCGCGGGGAAGGGGAACGCTGGCAATTAGAGCCCAGAAACCGCCCCGCGCCCAGCTGCCGCCCCTCGGCTCACAGGTCCCAGCAGTGCGTTTCTTTTTGTTCTTTTTTGAACCCTCAAGGGCTCCAGTCTTCCTCAGCCTCTCTTCCCAAAGCCTTTGCTGCCTCACCTTGACGCCTTTCCCAGCTCCTGCCTGTCTTGTGACCATCATTTGTGTGTGTGTGTTTAATTTCATATAATGGTTTTTAGTTCAGAAAGAAGTGATAGGGTACTTGGTCTTGAATTTGTCTTATAAAAGTAAGCTCAGCTACTAGGGCCTGAGCACCAACGATGACATAAAAGAATGACACTGTTTTAGTAGGTTCTGTTTCACCTTGTTACTGAGAAAACCGAAGATAATTCAAAACGTGAAGCTGTTAACCGCGAGACAAGCTCAGCGCTGTCTCATCACCCTGGGAGTGGGGAAACAGCGCGCTCCGTAGCCGTGATTTGCTTCCGCCATAACTGAAGGCTACCCTTCCCAGCACACTTTCTTACTTCGCAAAAAGAGTCATTTGTAGCCCAAATAAAAAACACACAAAAACAAACAAAAAGAAAACTGACCGAGGAGTCACCTGAGGAGGGTGCTGGTGCGGAGGGCTCAGGCGAGGGAGGCAGGTGGGCCTCGGGTGGGAGCTACGCTCAGCGTGAATCCTCTAAGGCAGTGGTTCTCAACCTCGGCTGCACATTAGATTCACCTGGGAATCTTTTTAAAATCCTGATTTCTGGGCCTCGTCCTCCGGGAATTCTGTTTCTTTGTTAATAATATTGTGGCCCCACCCCATAACAAAGAAACAGAATTTCCGGAGGACGAGGCCCAGAAATCAGGATTTTAAAAAGATTCCCAGGTGATTGTAATGTGCAGCCAAGGTTGGGAACCACAGCTCTGATGTGACATTTAGCTCCAAGTTGGGTTTGCCGCTTGCTGCACTGAGGGAGACTCACACCAGGAGGAACCCTGGGGGGTGTGGGTCTCAGTAAGTGGGTGTTAGAAAGAAGTTAACGGATTTGGGCTGCAGGCGGTTTGGGGGAGAGTTAAGGAAACAGGACTTTGCTCTGATGGCCGCTGCCAGGAAGTGGGGAAGTTGTACGTATCGAGTATCTTCCTAAATCTTGTCTCAAAGGAGGGACGACAAGCTGTGGTTGGCAAGAAGCAGCCGTCACGCAGCCAGGACGGGTGGCAGTAGTGGGGGGTGTTTGGTCATTTTTCTGGTTTGGACAGTGTTCAGATTTTGTCTGTGTTCAGGCAAGATTGTGAGAGGCCTTGGTTTTTGTCGTGATTTGTCGTGACCAGCGTGGCCCCGCCTGATGTTCTGTGACGTTGTCCGTGTTCGCCAGGGGAAGGCCTGGCCCGCGCCTGGCACCACCGGGGCGAGGCCATAGGACCCGGCAGCTTCCGGACGTCAGGGCCGCTGCTTTTTTTTCTTGTGATGTTGGGCAGGTTACTTTGAACTTCAGTTTCCACATCTGTCACATGTGCGCCATGCCTCCTCAGGGCTGTTGTGCAGATTAAATGAGGAAATGTGTGCAGAGGATTTAGCCCAAAGCCTGGCACACAGCGGGCACTCCACACACAGGTCCCACTACCCCCGCTTGATGTAGCTTATTTTGACATTGAGGTTTCTTCCCTGGAACTGTGCCAGCGGAGGCCTGGTGACCAACCAGAGCTGCTCCGGAGGAGAATCTTGAGTTGAAAGATTTTACTCCCGTCGCCCTGAATCAGGCTTAAGATCGGACAGCGGTGGTCACAGCATCTCCTCATGCTGTCATTCCTTTGGCATCTGCCTTTAGGACTCTCTGCTCCCAGGAGCCAGTGGCCAGTTGGCCGTGTGCCTTTCTGACTTGGTGTTGTCTTGCTTTCTTGGCCTCTTTGGAGCCTCTTGTCCAGGCATCTGAGTCAAGCTTGCATGCCCTGACCGCGTTCACCTGCTTGGAGCTGGGAGGCCACATGGCAGGAGCTAGGGACCATCTGCTGATAGAATTCTCACGGTGAGAGCCCAGGGCTGTGGGACAGCCGAGAGGGGCAGGGGGGTTTGGGCCATGAGCATTTAGAGCTGGATCTCTCCTAACGCCATTTTCACCTCCTTCCAGGTCGGAGCATTCTAGAAATTTGAATCTGAAGTCTGGCTTCTGGTTATAATTCCGTGCTTGTCTGTGTCTAAAACCTTCAGTTAGCTCTGATTTTTCAAAATTAAAAATCATTTAATTTTGCTGGCTGGACAGTTACTTTAGATGGTTCAGAATGGTATGGCAGTTTATCTCCCAATGACTAATTCTGCTGTATTACATTTCTAGCCTATATCCTGCCTGATTTATTATTTCAAAATTTTCTAGGAATAAAGAAAGAAAAAATGAGGCAATAGAAAATGGGCCAGTGTCACAGTTAAGAAACAGAAATACACAAGGCTTTACATAAAAGAGGCTTATTTCATTTATATTAAAATAAGTCGAGACCTGGTGCATGAAATTTGTGCATTGGGGGGTGGGGGGTGGTTCCTCAGCCCAGCCTGTGTCCTCTTGCAATCCAGGACCCCTCAGGGGATGTCGGGCCTAAACTGGTAGTCAGACATCCCTCTCACAATCTAGGATGCTGCGTGCACCAGTGACCATACTTCTCATACAGGTGAAAGGCATCTTGCTGTTGTATGGACAGCTACATTTTTTTTTTTTTTTTGCCCTGATTATAAAAAGTAGTACATAACATGATCCTTCGGAGGCAGTAGTACCATTTTCCCCATCTTATGGGTGGAAAAACTGAAGCAGAGAGAAGTTAAGCAATTGGCTTTGTCACACAGTTATAAGTGTCAGAATCAGGGCTGACCACAAAATGTGCAAGCCAGAGTCCATACATGTTATCACTGCATCATCCTGTTTCTTCAGTGTTAGAGTAGCCTTGCTAGGTTTTAATTTTTAAATCTAAGAGACTGTTCCCAATATATAGGGTAGGGTCCGTAGGCCTCGCCGGCGATCAGGGCTATCTGTGGGGTGACTGGCGGGCAGGGTGATGCCCCCCCCACCCCGGGCACCCACCTTGGCTGGAGCCTGGTGCTGCCTGCTTGCCGGCCCCGCCCCAAATTGCCACTGCCAGTCGCCTTCCTCTTGGGGTGGGGGCGTGCAGATGCTCAACCCAGGTGCTGCCTTGAGCGTCTGCCCCCCCTGGTGGTCAGTGCGCATCATTGTGACCAATCGTTCCACTGTTCAGTTGATTTGCATATTAGGGTTTTATTATATAGGCTGTAACTGAAAACTGTACTGAGATGCCATTTCTCATCCATGAGACTGACACAAACACAAAAAATTGATAACACACTGTTGTTGAGACTGATACTTTCATATCTCATTGGTGACTGCAAAATGGTACAACCCAGAGATTATGGATGCATTTACCCACTGACCTTGCAGTCCCTCTTCTAAAAATCTCCCTTCAGGTACTCTTGCCCATGTATGAAGACACACATTCAGGAGTATTTAGTGTGGCATTTTTATAATAACAAAAATGTAGAAATAACCCAAGAGGTGGGCGATACAGGCCCGATTAAATAAACAGCGGTGTGTCCCGCGATGGAGCACTGCGCAGCTGTGGTGAAGAAGGACTAACATGGAAAGCTCTCTGGGATATATCGCTACAGGACAGCAAGCCGGCTGCAGCTCAGCGTAGACCCCTTTTACTCATGTTTGTGTGAAGAACCCGAAGGTGATATACCTGACGGGGAGAGGGATGAGAGGGTAGATGGGGCCGGGAGGAAAGGGATTCCTTGGTGTACATATTTTTTCATAGTTTAGATAGTTGAGCCGTGTCAATATATTATGTATTCAAGCATAACAAAAAAGAGCCCTCTAATTTAACTTCACAAGGAGCATGTTCTCAGAGCTCCTTGATTGGCTAAGCCTGATTGGAACCAACACCTATAAAGCAGCAGCCACCGCCATTAGCTCTTCCTAAAGCAGCCTCGCCTGTCAAGAAGGAAAATGGGCTGTTTGACGTTAGATGGAAGAAGTCAGCTGAGGAGTTCCCCTTCTTCACCCTCAGTCCCTCAGGGGAGAACTGGCGTCCTTACCGAGGCTTTGCTGTTCACCACACATGGGGTTTTGTGAGCCTTTGCTTTGCTTTGCTTTGTAGTGGGAAGCCTGGTGTGGCTGCTCTGGAAACCTGTTGGATCCGAAGGCAAGTTAGTGAACTTCCTTTCAAGTCGTTCCAGAAAAGAAACCGTAAAAACAGAGG